TGAAAACGATCAAGGAGTGGCGTTTAAAAATTGAAAAAAAAAATTAGCAATATCTACTTTGTTTGATACATGTCTTAGTTTAAGAATACCTCTTCGTTTGATTAGGAAATATAGGTAGATATCTATTATTAAGTACATAGAAAATATGATATACAAACTTTTGTTAACTCTCTGAATTCAGATTGAATCAGTCATTGATCAGAGGTTAGTTTATTGCTTGTTACAATCTACAAATGAATGTTTTCTTAAATCTGCTTATTCGCTGAATGGTATACTGACATGGCGCATTCTGTATTGATGGGTTCCGTTTAAAGAAATTTGAAAGTAGCAAGTGCATGTAGTTACTTTTAAAGTATGCAAAATTCTTTTCAATAAAATTTTTACTACTGAACATGAAATTCAATGAAACAACTCAAAACAGGTCTCAATATCACATCACTGATTTCATGCTTTTATTCTTCTGTGTGAATCCTGTTTCGTTTTTGGGAAAACTTCGCATTATTTACACCCATGAAAATGTCTACTTTTAACTTAGATCATGTATTGATTGCATCAAAAAACATCAACCTTTTTGGAAGCTCTTTGAACACCTGATTTTGTTTATGAACTAACATAATTTCGATAAAAAGTAAAAAGCCGCAAAAATCATCTTTGCGATTGTTAAGTTATTAAGTGTTTTAAAAATATAAATGTAAGGTGTAAATAACTATAAATGATGAATGAAAGACGCGTTACAGTCACTTTTCTGCATATTTGTGGATGTCGTTAGTAAATAGCGTAGTGTATGATAACTTGTTGAACAAGGTGGTAGATTAATGTGAACACTGACTACAGTATCCAGTTGTATTCACCTAACGAGTTCTTAACAGCGTAAACAAAATACGTCCTAAACCATATTGCTGTCCACTAACAAAATAAAATTGAGTATGTTGGCCAGAAACATTATTACGAAAAGTGTTCTAATGAAGTTTCGCTCTAATATGGTAGCAGCATTTGATTAGTACTTTTTATTCATGCAAGTCGAGTTGTTTTCTATCTGGAAACAGTTTAATATCGAATAAAATTTCCCTTGGAAACCTACAAATGAAAGTACTAATCAAACTCCTATACATACATCCAACAGTCAGTTAAAAAGGAAAATTCACAATTTGATAATCACTTACCATTGGATAAATGTGACACTGAATAAAAAACAGAATCAGATTTTTTACTCCATCCAAGAAAATTTACTGAAGATAGACTAATACAATATGAACCAGTCTGAAAGATTATTGATATATTATATATTGTATATATATAACGATCATTTGTTGGATTTTTAATAGTTTCATTTAGATTTATGACACTGAATAGTTCCCATTCTTCATCCATGATTAGTTCACAATCTGTAAATGAGATAAATTAGAAAATAATAATGAAAAGTTTTGATGAGTAAAAAGCTGAAGTGTAATTCTCGCGGTTTTAGTGAGAAGCCATGGCCATGTGTTAGACAAAACTCAACACAAGGCATTGGGAGATGATCACACACGAACTTAGATAATAAAACTGTTGAGTCCCGGCTAAGTGGAGAAGAGGTTTGTTGTCCGTTCGTGAGATCAATGGTTTTGGGTGCGGTCCCTTTCGACATAGTTGTAGGTACGCAGTCCCATCTTATGATAAAATGACTGTTTGGTGCTCCTTGGTCTCAACTGGCGATCTAGCTAAGATCGATTCATAAGTTGAACCATGAAAATTCTACATTCATCACAAAATCATGTACGAATAAAAATGATTACGTTAAACGCGTCATTGTAATATCGATAAAGTACTTTTCAACATTTCCTATTCGGTCGTGATCAAGTTTATTGGTTAACGATTATCACTTATAAATTACTTTTAGGGAATAACCACACATTAGGTTGACTAATAATAAGTACATCGATCAGTATCTTTCCGGTAGACAGCACAGATGTATTTGATAAATTTTTCTTTTGACGTGTAGTAAATCCCCTTGAATACTCTAATTTTGAATGGTTAATTTTGAATAATATTCAAGTTAGCCTGTCCATGTGGTAGCTGGCCTTATGTAGTATTGTAGTGAACGAAGACTTCAGTAGAATAAAGCAGTTTATTGTTTAATGTGAAATTACACAGTGGTTTAGTAAAATATGAAAATCATACGATAAATAAATCATTTGTACATCTTCTTTGAGTTGTTCTTTACCTACTACATTGTCTCGATTGCTCTCCGATTTCCCTTGTGCTTTCTATAACTCCGTCTTCTACTGCCGAGCATTCCACTTCTGATTTCAGTTGCATACTACTTATATCTGTCAGCAAAAGTAATATACACTACAATATATCTCGATAGGTTATAGGCGAGTCATCATCTGTTAGATCATCTAGTTCATATTTAAGCTAGTTTTTATATACAATACTGGACAATCGTCCGGGTATTTCACAAATTCGTATTAGCTAAAAATGTGAATCACTGAATCCCGCTTGTGTAAATAAATTTGAAAACTTTGGTTTCGTTCTATTCTCAATTATTTAATGTCCTCAGGAGGGCAAGTTCAAACGTGAACAAAACAAATATATAGTCTGGTATTATTTAAAATCTTAACTTCTTATTACTTAACAATTACTTATTATTGTTAAAAACTTACTTCACCAGTCACATTGTCTTATTTGATATAGGAAGTGTAATGGAATTGCAGAATGTATCATTAAAACTAAACACCTTTTTCAATTTTCAATAAGTAATTCGACATCATACTACTATTTCTGATTTCGAGCATATTTCTGTATCTCTCTCTGTATATAAGTACATATATACATACATTCTACTAAGTAATGTGACAAAATATACTGAATTCCTGTTTAAACTTTGATACATACATGGCCGTCCAGACATGGATCACTAGAAACCTTATTCTTATCATACCCATTTAACACCAAAAAAAATATTTCAGCTAGCACGGAAGTTGTAACATAACATTCCCATATGGATTAGTGTGATTATACTAACCCAATGCGTGTCTAGAGTAATTATGATCACTTTTTCCATTTCTTGTTTATTCTAATATAAAAATATTAGTTCAACAAGATTTGATAAGGGGTGTAGAGTTAGATTAAACTGAAAAGTAAAGAGTATTTTTGAAGTTCCGACTACATCAATTTAAATAGTGTTTTTTTTTAAATACAGGAACTGTTTAAAGAATATTTAATTCTGAAAAATACGGTTGTAGATCTTGACCGAAATTGATTTTTTCAAATATTTAACGCTTGAAAATTCAAGTTCGATGCCTAAATATTTCTCATTACATTCTAAATTCTTTACTGACTATGTCATTAATCAAACAAAACGAAAATTGGTCTTGATTTCATGTGTATTATTAGAAAATAATGATTCAATACAACCGATTATGGACATACTCTTTGAACAAACTCTAATGTAAAAACGTTTACCCCAAACTAACAATGTATCTTCAACAGAAATCAAATGAATTGAACGATTTCATCATCAGAGATATATTAATAATCTATAGGTGATTTGAAAAGTATTTTTAAATGTTCATATAGGCAGATTCATTCTGTATACAAATGATTCATATGAACTAAGTTCTCTTAATTCTGAGTAAACAATGACCAATTAGCGAGTCATTTAGTTCTTGTCACAGGTTACATAAGCAAACAAATAATTAAAGATAAAAAGAAATTTGAATATAATTGTGACAGGATTGTTTTGTGAAGAAGAAGGTTTTCATAAAGAACGAGTTAATAGAAGTTTCGTCTAGGCAACAAAATGAAACGGTCTTATGAGAATGTGACCTGTGTTGCATGTTAGGCACTAACTATTAAAACACAAAAAAGATTTGGTGAAATGTGTTTGATATCTTTAAGATCTAGCTTTACGTCAGTTCAGTATCCCGTATCTTCAGATGGGCTCGTCATTAATCCAGTTATAAAGGTTCAATATCGGAAATATAATAGTCATAATATTGATCATAATGTTAAAGTGGTAAACACACTGGTGAAAACTGGTCCCTATTTTAAAAAGAGCAAATTTATTATATTAAATGTCGTTCTCCAAATAGTTATTGATCATTATGTCACGATTTCTCTGTATTTGGTTTCTTTGAATTCCGGTCTCAATAACAGTAGTTTTCAATTGTTATGGCTTGCAGTAAATCATTCTTTTAGATGAACATTTCTTAGACACCTTATAGATTGCTAATTTCTCTTTATTTTAGAGTAACTCCAACTAACGTCACCTATATGAACTTAGATTTCAATTATTCTTAATTTAACTAGTTCCTTTAGATTTTCTACACTTTTGTGGATATATACTCAAATTATTCTCACCTTAATTTTTTACTGGTAATCCTTAACAAGTTTAGTGCCACTGTGTTATTGAGACAAAATATTCTGCTCATATTATTTCAGCTCATTAATTGAAAGTTCATTAATTGGAATCGAGATTTTCAGATTAATAGTTGAATTCACGAGTTCATCTAAGCTAGACCACCATTGAAAACCTGGAATTACTGGATTGTCGTTTCATCCCACTGTGGGACCACATAATAATGCGCATCCATGCTCCCGCACGCTGAATTTGAACCGAGAACCTTCGGTCTCGTGCGAGAACGCTTGATATCTAGACGACTAAGCCGGCATCTAAAGTTGTTAATGTCTAACTTCAATATATTTATGATCTCCCGCAACCCTTCATCCATCGTCTGAAGAGGATAACTATCTCCACTTGACACCGAGTTGACTGTAGAGTAACTGATTCTTTTAAATGTTTCACTAAAATTCTTTAGCAAATAATTAACAGGATTATTATGCTCAAGTATATGTTTCTTTAAGTCAAGTCTATTTCTTAACTGTACATTTTAAAATTTATAAATTGTTTAGATTGAGTCGTTCAGAGTCTTAACTTCATATCAACCAAATATCTAAAATTCAAAAGCCATATAGATAAGAGGTTTAAGCGGATTTTAAATGAACACGAAAGTATTAAAAATTCCAATTCATTTATTTGGTATAATCAGTTATATGTCAGTGTCTATGCTACACTGATCATAAAAAATGATTATTATTATTATTATTGATATTGTTACGAAATCAAATTTTAATTTACTTTGTTTTCCCAAACTATGTTGATTGGGTAATTTATGAATAAAAATTGCATAATGAGTTATTTTCAGCTGATGTTTTGCTTGTGGCTGTTTCCATGACAGTTGAACTCCGATGTCATGAATATCATTGTTATTATTATCATAGTTACTATTTTCAAATCCATTGGTAACAGACAGATCAGTCGGTGCTGTCGGGAGCGAAACAACCTTAACAAAATTAGTAGAAATATAAACCGGAATTAATAATCTGACTTTTGTTAAGCACTAAAATATAAATAATGAAATGACTGACTAGAAAAATTATTTTCAACTTACATTAAAATACAGATATTACAGAGTTAGGCAGCATCAGCTATTTGCTTCACTAGAAACCCATAATCATTGATGCAAGGTAAACAAAGATTCAAGACGGATGCATAACTGTAAAATGGAAGGACTGTTAAAATACGTTCTAAATATATTGTGGTTTGGAAGATATAGGCTAATAGATTGAACTAAACTTTAACGATTTTGTTGTAAAAACTAAGTATTTGAGTTTGAGTCCCTGAAAACGTTTTACGTTTGAGTAGACAGTTAATTTTGGGGTAATCAAAGGTATATGCCGACCTCAGTTTATCTATCACAGTATTGTTGTTTTTCATCTCGAATCATGTTTCTTAAACCTTTTATCAAGTTGTGCCTAGAATTATTCACTATATACACCGGTATCACTTATTTCCGAATGAACTATAGCTCATTGAGATAACATGTTCATTATCATCGTTTATACATGTGTCATTCTCGACTAACGATATATATATCACAACTGTTCCGTTCAACTACTTCATTGAAAATTTCACTACAAAGTTGTATTGTCCAATCAAGTTTCCAACATCAAAACACCAGCTTTTAGTTTACTTAACAACGTTTAGAAATCTGTTGTCCATATTAGCTTTCTTCCTAATCATTGAATCCTAGTGACATTATCATAAATAAGAATAATCAGCCTAAAATCACGAATAACCAACTTTAAATAGCAGTTCTTTTCAATAAAATGAGTATAAATATTATTTTCTTCAAAAATCTCTTACTTTTAATTCAGTTTTAAGAGTGTAATTACCACCAAGTGATAGGATTTCACAAACGTAGAATCCTTGATGTAATACATCAACACTGTTAACGTGTAAAATAGAACCATACTCTTTTAATCCTATCGGCGGTTTGTGTTTTGGTGGAATATCACGTGAGAAATAAGTGATAACTGGATCTATTGGTACAGACTTGACAAGATTGTAATTTGTAATTACTTTTGTATTCTCTTTGATAGTTTCATCAGTCATCATGGTATTATTATGTTTCTTATATTTTTCACCTGAAAGAATAGATCCTTTCCTTCCATGAAACCAATTAATCTCAGCAAGTGTATTTTGATCAATGTAAAATGAACACATTATTGATAAGCTTTGATTAGCAAAAGCTGTTATTGAACTTGGTAAATAGTGAACAGGTATGGTACGAGCTGTTATTGATAAAAAAGTGATTTCTATGATAAAACATTATACAAGATACTGACGAAGTTAAAGAATTCAAACTTTAAAGATCGAGAAGAAGAATTAAAGACAATTCAGCCGAGTAAACTTGCTTTTTGATGATATCATTTACTAAAGCTTACTTATTATGATTTGGAAAATATATTAGTCTACCGGAGAATGGAAAGAGTATATTTTACAGTATTCAGAGATTTCATGTATGATAAGAAAGTTGCCTAAAGGCTCAAAGATTGCAGAAAGAATAGTGAAATTAAAATAATTTGCAAATCAGAAACATAAATCATAGTCATTAACTTCACAGCTATGTACAAGAAATGGAAATGTGGGAGTGATTGTACCGACTCAGCCATAATTAATTAAATTACAACGGAATAATGACAACTAATTATGGAATAAATAACAGACCGGAAAGAATAATGGAGTGATAGAAGATTGAGAAATTACATGTGCTAATTTTTCAAGAGGAATTGAGGCTTATGATGGTGAATGGTCAGTGGCTCTGGAGTTCATCGGTTTTTCATCCTTGCTCCCACTTGTTTGACTGTGTTAATTTTTTATGAAAGATAGTTCTGATGGAACAGAATTGACCGGAATTTATGAGATTTCTCTGTACTGATCACTATTATTTTACATTCTGGAACAGTTCACAAATAGTTCACTTTATGCATCCAATGTAGCTTCCGCATAAAAGAAAGTCAACTTATGGCGGCTTGCTTGAGCATCTGGGCTATCTGTTCCTGCCATCTAGATATTTCAACAAGTTATCTATTGTTGTTTGTTTTAATATATCATTATGTTTATTAATCGCATAACCTATTCTGCTGCGTTTCTGAAAAGTGTACAACCTTTCGTTGTCAAAGTTGCAGAAAACTCAATAAGAGACAATATGGTTGCTGGCAATATACAACGAAAAGAATGTACATTATTCAGTTGTTCATTCACTGAAGTGCTAACATCTAACTGGCGATTCCTCAATATTTATCGCCAGGACCGACCAAGAAGAAAGAAACGGAAACTTGTTGAAATACTTTGCGCTGAGAATTCTATATTGTACCAAAATTATAATATTGAATAAAGCTAATAATAATAATAAATATAGATCTCTACAAATACGATAGCACAGCTTCAACAAGGGATATAATTTAAAAAACCTGGGACTTTTGTTCTCGTGCGAACCTTATGCCAATATGCAAGATAACTTTTCAGGGTTTGCTAGTTATTAACATTAGGTATTTTGGAGATAGCTTAATTTTCTTAGTTTATATCATGTTCTCATCTTAGTTAGAATGGTTGTCTAAATCAAACAACTATACATTTATTTATTCATTGTGACAGTAATCCATTTTAAGGGTACTAAGAGATCCAAATGATCATTTCAGTGGTAGGATATCACTGAAGCTAAAAGGACCTTATTTTTATTAGTTACTTCATTTGGATTGATAAAAAAATACGACTAACTTACCATAAACACTGACATAAATAAAAGCTGATTGATTCCCTAAATAATTCACTGCTTCACATTTATACAGACCAGTTGATTTATAATCAACATGGTAAATCTCCAATTCATTTAAACCGATCGGTACACATGAATTAGATACTGGTTGTATAGATTTTAGTTTATCATCAACTAACATTACATTCACATCATCCTCTTTGATTAAATATTGCTTTCTATTGAAAGTCGAAGAATAATTAGAATTTTTATACTTTTGATGTAATTGATAAATTGGTGTCCATTCATTTTCACTGGTTTCTGGAAAAAGAATAGGGGAATCATATAATAGTTATTACATAAAATCGAGCATTATACATTATAAACATAATTCAATTTTGTTATCCATTAAGATTTGGATTGTTCTTTTTTGTCAAACTCATCAATTCCCTTTTTTTTGTAGTTATAACACTATTCATGTAAATTGTGATAGAAGATTAAATTAGTGAAGTTGATCTTGTTGATCACATCTCTAACCGTGAAACATTGTAATTTTGAAATGACACATTAATCCAAGAAAAAAATAATCTTGTGAAGAAAAAAAGCCAGCAACTTAACCGAATTGATTTTTTTGTTGAAAAACAACATTCATAATTAACCCTAATTTTTTTTAATTTTTCTCTCGTACTTGTGGAATCTACATTGAAGCCAATCCAGTTACTTTCAATTTAATTTTGACGAAATCCTATTCGCGGATCATTCAATTTTATGAATTTATTGAGGACATTTTTTGGGTATTCAGTAAAAGAAAAGTTCCCTATCATAAAACTAAAACATTCTACAGTCTTCAGTCAAATTATTGATAACGAAAAATAAAACTGGTTAATAGTAAATTTTAAAACATGCACAATCAAGACAATAATATATTCATCTACTCACCTTTATACCATTTAAATTCAGGTGTTGGTGCTCCATGAATAGGACAAGTCAGAACTGTTGTTGATTCTTTCAATACAGTAATATTCTCCATAATTATTTCTGAGTTGCATAATCTTGGAGCGAACGCTAAAAGAAGCAATCGTACTTTTTTTAGTATATGAATGAAGATCATTGACATTGTTAGATGAGAAATGTTCGACAAATGGTCACTGTTGATGTATATGAATAGACACTTTTTCGGAGGATGATTTATGAAACGTTTACTAGTTGTATACTTTAATGTGAAATTCGTACCCTGGGAAATCAAAACTGACGATTACTGTTTTGTAGATAGTTACTAATGTCATTAAACTACCAAAAAGTTCATGTATGAGAAATAACTTTTGAAAACTTATGACTAAAACACAGTTAACTGTTAAAACATTTGAAAAAATATTTAGAAGTATACATATGCTTCATAGTTTAGTTGAACAAGTGTATACCATAAGCATAAATTTTGTCATTGCACAACAAAATAGAGACATTGAAAGCAGTTAATCTGAAGATATCCCGTTCCGCTTTGCTAGGAATTTTAAATATGTATTTTACTGATATTAAAAAATTACATTACTGTAAACACGTTTTAGTTTGTTGTAATCGTAAAGAGATTACACAAAAAGTTGTTCGGGTGAAGTATAATTTTAATTTGAATATATTTGGCCAAATTTCTGTGTAGTTGAAGAAGAACTAACTCAATAATACCTAACTAAAGTAAAGCTTTTACTCAATGAGCTTAATCCAACAAATATGATTATGGACATTGGCAGTTAAAGATGTCTTGGTTGCTTATTTAACTTCTGGAAACATCATCTATCTTGAAGAATAATTTTAAATGAATCGGAATTAACTAGGGAAAAAACTGGGACTATGTGGATAATGACTTAACAAGATCTAACATGATATCATCTCATAAAGTTGCCGTTTATTGAAGTAAATCATAAAAAGTAGGTGCTAACTTATAAAATGAATTCCCTTGAATTGTAACACAAATTCTATATTCTGTTTGATAAAAATCTCATCCTCTCTCAGTAGAACGGAAATTTTTACTTCATCTGCAAAGTATCTCACTGTTCTTTTTCTTCAACCTACACTGTTCTTTGTTATCAGAATAAATTCTCTTTTTTTTTATTAAATCAGCCTATTGTTATGCTTCTAAATAAGTGTCGATATGATTTTACAAGCGACAATATTTATCTACCACTTAATCAAACTATCATTTAGTCTTTTTTTTAAAAGCCTGACAATATCAACAGATGACTTGAATGATAGGGATTCCATTAAATGTAGATTAATTTTATTAATGATAGCAAGATAGATTAAGTCATTTTGAGTTATCTTATAATGAGCGTCAATCTAAATGGATACTTCTTCCTTGCCTATTTCATTCCTGACTAGTTATGATTTAAATTCACCTTCACTTTGAAATACCATAAAAGTTGATCAGATAATTATAAAAAATTAATTAACCATAATCAATTATTACTCACTGATTAATGAAACTGATTTGAATAGATAAGTGAAATGTCGAGATGAAATAATGAAACAGTGAACTATTAGCCTAGTCACGATCACTCTATTCTTCTATTCTACGTAATATGTAACATATATATATATATATATATATATATATATATATATATATATATATATATATATATATATATAAAGATACTGTTAAAAGTTATTGTAATGATTATCTTTAATTGACATGGCTAAGTTCAATCTTTATTAAGAAGCTATCACAGTTGGATATAAAATATAGAACATTTTACAAAAGTACGAATGATTCTTAACAAGATAATATGTAACAAATAAAAGCTGAAATGTAATTAAAACATATTGTTTTCTTCAAGTATCATAACTATCACTATAGTAGACAATAAAACAATTTGTAAGGAACAATAATTCAACATAGTTATTTGTGTAGTAGTCTAATCATACTATTTTATTTTAAAATAAACAATAATTAATTGGTTATGATAGTTTAATTCATGAGTCGATCTAAAGTAGATCACCACAATGGACAGCCGTTTCGTTACAGTATGGGATTCTTCAGCAGTGCGTATCCATGATCTCACACGTGAGACTCGCCTTTAATCAACGAAATGACATCTATGACACTGATAATTGTTTTGACGTATGAAAAAAAAGTAACCCGTGCTAATAAATTTGAAACACTAGTCGGGAACAGAAGGTCTGGCAGCAGAGAGACAAGAGGACTGAAAAGTAAAGTATAGAAACAGGATGCAATTTGTGTGAAAATGCAAGAAGAATGAAATCTGAGTCATTTTGAAACAATTGGTGGATATTTCGCAAATTAAGCATTTACTTTATGATTGTTAGATTTTATTAACAAGTCCTGTAATTTTGTGTTAAATACATTCGATTGTCCCTTCTGGTGTTCTTGTTCACTAAATTTCGTTGATAGTAGCTTACGCTTAGTGAAACGTTACTGGATTGAGGGGGAAAAAGACAGATGGCATTTTAAAATTTATATATTCAATTCAGAAGTAAATGTCTGAAAGTACTAGCAATAATGTGTTAAAAGGTTAAAAATCAGACATATTAAATAGAAATATATTTCTAGTCAGCAATATGCTAAACAAATGAGTTGTCTGGGAAGTTCTGCTTTAGCGCCCAACTCATTTTAGATATTTTTCTGCTACTTAATTTACCACATCGAACAATAAATATCACATTGTTTTATAAAATAAAACAACTCATATATGGAAATTTATGCAATGTTTGTTTACCAGAAAATTGTCTCCTAATCATCTGTTCATAGCATGTATTTGTTTATAATAACGGTACTGCACAAAAAACTTATCAATTTGTAAATATTAAATTATAGGTATAACTATCGTTAGATCGTGAATTTCTCAAAACATTGAGGGCTACTGAAATGGTTAATCATGAACGACATCTTCAGCCGTACGACAGTCAACTTCCTATTCAAATGATTATTGATTATTTGAAATTTGTAGAAATCATTTGTGCATAGAATTCAGGAAAAACCTATTCATGTGAAACAGTGGTTAGATCGGTAGCCAGTTTCATGAGGAATTCCAACCTTATTGTTTACAAAACAGTAGTATATGTGTTATTCATATGCCCAACGAATGGAAATCATTTTTATAGAGATAGGATTTGTGTAACTTAGATGTTGTAAAATAAACGTCCTTTATTTTTAGTCCCAGTATTTCTTGAAAAAGTAATATACGTATATCAAAACAGAGAATTCATTATAATTTTGGTATTTTAACAGAAAATTGAAATGACTCAATGACATAATCAGTACAATATAGGTAAGATACACAGAAATACTTTCTTTATGAATGAATGAAAGCAAAAACATATAAGAATTTCCAGTCAACAAGTTCAGGTTTATGACTAGTAACTAAGCTTATTTCCGTTACAAAACAAACGTAATGCATACAAAACTGTAGACATAAATAAAAAGATTCTTGGACAGTAAACAAGATAAGAAAAAAATGGTAACTTACACGTTACTTTTAACCAAATATTTAGGAAATCTTCACCAACATCATTGTATGCGTAACATTGAAAAATACCAGCATCGGTTAACTTCAAATTTTTAATGATTAAAGTATGATTGGTATGAATCTGGTAACTAAATAATTTTTTTTCAAAAACAGTAAATACAAAAAAAGAGATAGTTAATTATCCAGAAATATTTCTTGAACGATATACTATAATATTATTAAAGGACAAAGGAAACAGCACGAAATTTTATTGTTATATAATTGGAAACATTATACTATTGTGATGTATGTTACTTATGTCGTCAGACAGTCTTGCTTCATATATTGCATCGAGTCATTTCAGTTTTTTTCTTAAACATATAGCAGAAAACAGTTAGTTCATAGCTATAACAAACAACCGTACCACCAGCGGTAATCGGTAACTTTGTCAAGGCATAGCACACACGTTTATTGAAGTCAAAGATTGACTCAAACATCAGAACTCTTTCAGTTGATGACAAAATTATTTATCAGTGAATGAAACAAAGAACCAAATTACTGATCAGGCCCTTACTATCCTGGGTCAGAAAATAACCCAGGAAAGATAAAGGCAATTCGGAAACCCCTCAACACTTCTTGAAAGTGTATGATGAGAAGATAATCAACATAATGCACTCAAATAGCTGCTTACGAATTCTATGGTTTTATGTCACACTTCAATATATTATAGGAAAAGTTTGCATATTGTTACAAATAGAATAAGAGCAGAATCAAATTGAAGTCAATGAAGTACTGCTTTAGTAATTTAATCTCCATCAACATCTGTCAGAATTATGATACTTTCTACCAAGAAGAATATATATATATATATATATATATATATATATATATATATATATGTATTATCCGTTACAAATTCACATTCAAGTACAAGACTATATACATTGCAGTTTTGACACCAAATACAAAACACTTCGAGATTCTAACTACTATTCTTTGTTCCATTGATAGTTTTTTCTACATCGAGTTGTTTTCTTTAAATCAACTTGCAGGTTAAAGAATGCCTAATTTATAGTGATACATTAAGCACAGTTATGTCGCTAATCACTTACTGTTCAGAAAAAGTTATTGAGTACAGAGCTATCATGTTATCTGTTCAATAAGTAATACCGAAGTGAGGGCACTGTTCTGTCAGTACGTATTAGCAATTATTAAATCATGTAGATATATGTTGGAATAGTATTAGATTGTTTTCAATATTAATGTAAGTATCAGTTTTAAAGGTTATTATTTACATTAAATTATGTATGTTATTATCCCTTGATTCCATAAAATACCTTAGGTAACTAAACGTAACAATAGAAAAGGAAGGTTCTGAAATGCTTGATTCAAGCATCCATGCGATCCCTGTATTGCTATTAGGTGAAAGAAGATTTAGTAAATAATTACTTGACTCTAATGAATCCATTTACTTTGAATTTTTGTTTCAAGGAATGAACATTATATATTTTTACTTTGATGTTTAATCATTTAAAAACAGCTTACACTTCTAGTGGATTGACAGCTATCCAATGTACATCGTCTTAAATTCACATCTCTCAGGAAAAATATGTCTATTATTTGCAGTAATCTTAAGGGTTTTTTTAGATAATAAATAGAACTCATTTACTTACTGATACAGAAAACAAATTCTGTCCAATGGACGGATTATTCTAACGATATTATTAACTGAAACTGTACAGTTGCGTTTTCTATTAGATTATACGCACTGACTAATTGTAATTACGATTGTAACGTACGTTTTTCAATGGTGATTATCTACTTGGGAGTTTCACCATATATAATGCTTCTTTTGAATTAGACACTTTATTAGTGATGATAAACATCTTTTGAATTAGACATACATAATACACTTATCAAACTTAAAAAAGACGATAATACCAATTCAAATGTTTAGTGATGACTACCCATAATTATTTATGTAATATATTCAAGATACATTTAAATTACTATACGTCAGTTATTGAAGGACGTAATTTTCACTGGCAATATCTTATTTGCCTTTAGCATAGCTGGATATTTCTGAAGCAAACAGTTTATTACGGTCATCTTTATTAGAACAAGTAGCTTAGAACCAGTTAGTTTTGCTTGCTCTCGATGAATTTTATACATCAGATATGATAGTTGAGAATGATCTATCAACATTTGTAATAATCCATAATCATGTGAAAATCTATTTATTTACAAAACCTGTTGAAATTTTCCTCATAACATATTGATCTAAATATTCAAGATTTACCAATATAAGAACGTCTAATTGGTTTTTAATTGTACTATTTTCTTCCTTCAGACAGGTTCCATTTAGTGAAATGGAAGCCAAAGCTAATGACGCTTGTATTTTAAATAACGAATTACATAATCGGTTGGCTGATATTTAAGTGGAATTCTAGAAGGATAATTTACGAAGTATAAAGGAGTTCTACACATACCTGTCAAGTTCTTAACATTGATCAAAATTCCGTTGATTGTTTTGCAATATGACAACAAATTTAAGTGATTAGACATCAAACATAGGATGTTTTGGTGTTTAGTACGTTGATGAAAAAAGTGGAATATTTTAATAGGATTGAATCTGCCTTTTACTGAAGGATGATAACTATTAGGATACTTTCCGAAGATGTCTGAAAGCCCTATTTTTACTATCTGGAATCACTCTTAAATTAGAAAATTTGGTCTTACGTTTACTTTATAGTGAACAAAACAATCTGATTATGAGTCTATTCAGAAATGCTTTAAAGATCGTTATCATAGAAACGTTTCTGAAAAAAACTAAGCAAAAATTGTCAATTAATGACATTATCTAATTGTATAATTTCTACTTCATTGGGAGTTTTATAATAAAGTTATGAATCAATAATTTAATCAATTAAATGTCATCTTTTTAATTAAAGATGAAAAATCTTCATCTACTTTTATCTACTACAGTTTCTCCAGCTTTAGCAAAATGCTTTTGGTTAATGATCAAACTTCAGATCGACTATCGGCATAAATGACATCATCAGGACTAACTTCAGATACTTGTGCTAATGCTTCTTCTCAGAAGGACGACAGAAGCTGCACAAATAAACCATACAACTTACAGAACAGAACGTCATCAAAATGAACCAACTGTACTACAAATCATCAACATTTCAGATATCACTATGTAACACGAGTGGAAGGTTAAGTTTAGAGTATGAAGCTCTCAGTTTTTAAGCGATAAATTACAGTCTTAAATTCCATTCTACATTCTTCTTTTAGAGCAACTAGATAATACTATTAGTTTTCATCCAAACTGTATACTTCAATGTTGGGTACATAAACTAGTCACGAATTAAAAAATTACATTAGTTGACTAATGATTTACTTTCTAATCAATACCGAATCACTATTGATCAGAAGTGAAGTAAATAATAATTCACTCATTCCTAAGTCAGTAACAACTTTTTTCAATAACGTAAACTGCAATCTTGATAACTAATCCTATGGCTGTTAAATAATTAATCAGTTCTAGTGAATAACTTGAGTCAATTAAACAAGACAAAGGAATGAAAGCTGAGTGGATTAAGAAGTGAATCTAAGTACATATATATACATATATAATCTTGGATGATTGATAAGCGAGCGCACCTATCCTCACACACACACAAACATAGTACACGAATAATGTTCTTGGTATCAATCAAATCTGTCATTTCATGGCATAAATGCGAAATTTAAGTAAAAATTGGATTTCTTTGTGTTAGATTGAATATATAGCCGGAGCCGATAGCTTTTGTACAAACAAAATCAAATGATGAATATATTTTTGAAGAGAATTCAAAGTAGTTAATATTAAATAACCTTTATTCAATGTATACAGTATTATCTAGCGTCATCTGTAAATATTTGGAAGTGTTTACAATCACTATAAATATTTCATTGCTTAAGTTGCAGTTATTTGAGATCGTTTTAATATTATTTTCATGCTAGACTGAAATAAACATGAGTAGTGATTTAAACAATAAAATATTTTCAATTTTCGGGATTCACGAAGATTGTAGCATTTTTAAACTTGTATTCACGAGTCAATCTAAACTAAACCACCACAGAGAACCTGAAAGCAGTACACGGCCGTTCCGTCCTATTATGGGACTACTTAGCAATGTGCATCCACGATCTCTTACGCCGGACTCGAACTCACGACCTTTGGTCTCGCTCGCGGACGCTTGATATCTAGACCACCGAGCCGACATACAAAGGTGTTAGTGTCTAGTTTCGAACGATTCATGATCTTGCGCAACCCTTCATCCATTGTCTGAAGTAAATAACGGTCTTACATCTGACACAGATTGGACTCCGTTGGTCACGGCTTCTCACTAGAACTCCAAGAAATCCATCTTACTAGTGAGCATATGATTATTATAATTATCAAAATGGAGATTTGTGGAGATTGTAATATTTCCAAAGTTGAATTCATTAGACAGTCTAAGATAGACCACCACTGAGTCCCATACTAGTCCAGTGCTTCCAGATTTCCAGTAGTGGTCTATCTTAGATTGACTCATGAATCCCACTGTGAAAATAAACTATTTGACAATTGTTTCACTCTAATTTGAGGCACCTCAATGTCATACATTTATGATTAGATAAATGAATAAAATTACCGAATCTACTTGAACTGTGGTCAATTTAAACTTTAGTGCAACAATTTTGCCGTAAATTGCATTTCCGACTCTATTAAGTGTAGACTAGTGTAGATGACCGTTTCCAATTATTCTTGTTTTCTTAATATTTCTCTGATTCATTTCTAAACTTAATGAAAATGATAGATAATCAACAGTTTAACACCTAACCGATTGATTGTCAACTATGGTAATATAGCATTGACGACCGATAAGAAAGCACAACCACTACGTTTTGCTAAATCCCTTATGAGATGAACAGCTGGTAGTTTTAACGCAAAGTCGCGTACCGATTAAATTTATAAAATACCTTGTTCATTATTTTGTGAAATTTTGTGTATTCACTACTGAATGAGTTAAAACCGAAGTGATTTAACTGTACAGTTTTCTTTCCATAATTTACAGACTACTCTCAGTTACATAACGGCTGAAAATCTAAAAACACTATAAAGCTACTAAGTCCTAGCATAAAACTCTTCAGAAGTGTGCATTGATGATCACATCCAAGATCGAACACGGGATATTTGAATATCTTGGAGAACGCTTACTCTTCAGTCCGCTGAGTCGACATTCAATGATATAAGCGTATAACTTCGATCGATTCAAAATACTTTTTTCTTCAATTTATTAGTGTAATTGATGGGAATAAGGAATTTGCAATATCTATCTCCAGACGATTTTATCTTTAGACATTTAATATCAAAAACACATCTCAAACATTTATACGTTCATATTTTCTATCAAGTTCAAAATAGAAAGTCATCTGGGAATTTTTCTTACTTAAATACAACATATACATTATGGAACTGTAAAAAATAAAACAGATTTCATTGGATTTATGATGTTCTCATTTATAAACTCTAATGATTCGATTAGCTTTTTTATGAACTGATTTATAGTAAAATTGACATTCATTATTCCACGCAATTTATACTTACACTAATCAAAATACAATCTTTTCACTAGTGGGAGACAGAGTTTATTAAATGTTTCAATATATATATATATATATATATATATATATATAAATATATATATATATATATATATATATATATATATATATATATATATATATATATATATATATATATATATATATGAAGTAAATAAAAATTGACATTTTGACAGTAAACAATAAATATGGAGAGCTAGAAAGTTTCATTAGTTCCCCATATCAACGCAAAATTCAAATGGTTTGGTGAAAATTGAAATAAAAGTGTGAATTTTTGTGTTTTATTAATCGAAATCACAGTTGGATCTGATAAAAAAATATGAACTTGATAGATTTAGGATACCTCAAATCATTACAGTGAGATTTCAAATTACCATGATGATAAGGAGTAAATTAGTTGATATTATACTATTTGAAATGAAAATCGTCTGAGCATGGGGCAAGAAATAAGAACGAAAGTAACAGGAGTACGAAAAGTACACAACAACACTATAATCAATATTTGGGGAAATATAACGTATGAATAAAAGAAAGTGTCTATTTTCTACATTAGTTTTTTTAAAGATGGTAAATAATGGATCTTATAAAACTGTCTGTAGAAATGTAGGCGTTTTGTGAAAAACAATTTGAGAGATTATAAGTAAATCTTAATAAATGACACCTCTACAACTATGTATTATGCAAAACGTGTATCCTTTACGCTGAAAGTGTGGAGATTATGCTCATGCATAATATTGTTGAAATTTCACTTCCCTAGTTGCTCAAAATATGTTTATATTGTCGTATAAGTATACAGAGCCCATCAGAGATGAAATATAAACATATTCGGTTCACAAAAACCCAGTTGATGAATTCATCTTTGTCTAACTAAAGACGTCTGATAAATCATAAGTATTATGCATTGTTTTGCAAAATGCCGTAATAGAGATACATGTATCGAACATTCACATACAACGTCCTAATAATCTGCCATTGTTGTTGTCATTATGAATTAATTAGTGTTAATTGGTGCAGAGCCCTAGAATTAAGGTCGAAGGTGGTTCGACGCTAAAGGGTAGAATTACGTTTATTGAGTTTTCAGATATCATGCAAACAGGTGCCAGATAGGTCTAGATCATTTTGATAGTCGCAAATAGCAATTTAATATACAAATATAGAGCACTCATTGTCGGCTCAGTTAGATTAGAGATCACAGTGGAACTGAATTCATAGAGTCCGATCAACAACAAGGAACATGTAAACATTATATTGATAACAGTCCAATGATTCACCGAGGTATATATGTGAATTGTATATGCTGAAAATGGTAATCTTCTACAGCCCACGTAAATCTTCTCCGTTTTCATAGCAGGGTACCAGTAATCCAACCAAACACCCTTCATTATTATTCAGTCTTAAACACACGTTAACATATATATAAAATTAAAGATGATCATGTATAATAATTAATAAACCCCACTGTTTATATAAGAAGGCGCAAAAGTGAATGGAGGATTAATTAATAATGATTTATGAATGTCAAGAAGTATAGCTGCAATCAATGAGTCAAATGAAACCTTACAATTAGAACAATATGAGAATTTCATGACACCACTGCTAAATAAATAAACATTAACAGTATGTGTATTGGTTCACCACAGAATAATTATGAGCATTTTACAATTTTACTTATTCACCTAATCCTAATAGTATGTCCATAGAAAAAACACTTTTTGAAACTATTGCTTTTTAGTGTGGGATCAGGTAGATGGTTGCACGACCTCATGTACTGACTGGAGTTGAACTTGTATAATATGTAGTCTTGGCTGATTGATTTGGAGACTATACGTTTACACGCAAGACCGAACAACCTGAGTTCAGCCCTTGTGAAAGAGTTGTGGACTGATGAGAAGTCCCATACAAAGAGAAAATAATTATCCTTTTCTCCCAGTAATTCTCCTTTCGAGATCTCCATGACAAAAACATGAACCGTTTACAAGAAAATTCATATCATACTTTTTTCATCTATTTAGAGCACCGAAGGTTATGTTAAGAATCTTATTCTTTAGTTAGAAAATAAAACAACTTTCGACGTTTTTATCACTACCCGTAAACACCCGTCTTATCTGTGCTATTTTGACTGTTATCCAAAAAAGCTTTTGATAGTAACGTGATATTTGAGCTAAACGAAAAGTGCAACTTTACCAGAAGTATCTGTTTACATCCCTGAATTTCAACTAACATTGCTAAAACAATTTATGCGTAACATGATATGAACGTGATGATAAGTAAAAATGTTCCTCATGCTGTTCAATGTGAAATATTTGGAAATGATTATTGCTTGAAATATCGTGTATCCTATATCGATAATAAACAAATATTTGCTTATTTTGATAAATAAACAATCAATCAAAAAGACAATGAACAATAAATCGATATATTTTGTATGAGCTGCCTAATGATGAATAAAATGAACAATTTTCAATTTAAACATAACATTATAAATATTTACGAAGACCGTAATTTATTTCTATAGCAGAAACGTCAAATTTTGACATTACATTGAACATACGGGGCGCTTATGGATATATATATATATATGTATCCATTGCGTTGAACGTTGAACATGAAACAAACATTATTATCATTATAAAAAGAATATAAAAACATGTAACTTACTATTCTTGTTTATGTGTATCAATTGAATCACCATTTCTTAACCATTTAATTTCAGCTTTCGGTATGCCAAAATAGTCTAGTTCACATGGTAACTGAATAGTCATACTGGCACTTGTTTCAATTATCACTAATTTATTATATTTCGGTGAAATTTCCGATTGACTTGTTAAACTATTCACAATCAAATTTGGTGGGAATTTAATTTTTGGCGGTAGATATAATTTTAATCTAGCTGTAGTTGATATGGGACTAATACGTTGATATAAATGAATTGCAGAATTTGTAGATGATGATGAAGAGGAGGATAATACTGATGTAGTAAACTGAGAATCATCTAATATGAATTTATTCATATCAAATACATTATTATTAATGTAGTCATTTAAATAAGCATGACATGTATATTCTTCAGAATAAATACCTTTTTGATTGATTTGTTGAAAATAATCAGAAGGTATTACACTCGGTAATATATTGCTAATAATTAGTGTTCTATTGAGACCTGACGTATCAAATTTATAAATAATTTGATTATTAATGTTTGAATTATGATTGGTTGACAGTTTTGTTGGTGATGAAATAACATTTGATGGATTGATAAGCTCATGTTTACCATTCAGTGTACTTTTAAACCATTGAACTCTTAGTGCATGAGCAGGTCTATAATTTAGATTAAAACAACAATGAGAAGATATCAAAGTAGGATCACAAAAGATTATTCTCAAAGAAAAATCATCGTGTACAATATTAGATCTGAATTCAAATGTATGTGAATGAATGAAAAGTATTGAAGGCATTAATTTATATTACATAATCTTAAGGATGAATATGATACAATTTTTTTATGAAACTTTACATTCTTAAAACTGTATTTATTTACTAATCAAATAATACATGTTACTAAATGGACATTTTAGCATGAAATTTCAGGCAATCACAGATACTGTGTTTAATAAGATCCAAAAGTAAACATTTTACTCACTTACTGTTTTCTTCAAGCCACAAGAACGAATATTACCAACAACAATTTGAAAAATGCAAAATAGCCATAAGGCAACTACTGAATTAATAGAAGATTAAAACCAAGTCAAATGTATTTTTCTTGTAATCCACTGATAATTATCTTATACCCATTGATAAGTGCAGTCATTTATTTTTGCATAGTTTTTATATTCAGGTAGGAAACAAGTAATTGTTCAAGGTGAGTTTCACATGAGTTAAATCCCTTAAAGACTCAACAACATTTCAGTTCACACACCGATCAATAAAGAAATATCATTTCTTCGCAATTAATTGCAATAAAAGTGAAAGCTGGTCCTGCGATATCAAGGATTGGTTGAATTTAGACTTCAACGTTACCGGATCCCGGCCCAGTGGTCTAGATAATAGGCGTCTGTGCAACACCGAAGGTCCTGTGTCCAAGTTCCGCGTGAATGCTCACTTCTAAGGAGTCACAAACTAAAACTAAACGACCTTCCAGTTCTTCTAGGTTCTCAATGTTGGTCCAACATTGATCGCTCCATGATCTCACCCAAAACGTAACAATCTCCACAACTGATGTTACCTTTTCATTGGCACGATGAAAATAACAGCAAGTATAGCAGTTAAGTAAAATTCGCATAAACCGTAACTAGTAGTTTTACTGACCTACTTTATAAAGTATTTGTTTATCTTAAAAAAGCATCAACCTGTAAGACCTCTTCAACTTTTATTGTTATGTCCAATTTACTTCAACTAAATTTACGGTAAATCTAAAAGTTTTAAGAAAAATAGTAATCTGGAACTTTTAGTAAGATTTTTGTTGGATTTCAGTACCTGGCTGTAGTAATCAACTATTCAACACAATGCATAAATTTTCAACACTTCCTTTTCGTTAATCTTCAAGTGAAAAGCCTTCTTGTCTTATCACTGATGGAACACCTTTTTCGATGGTTTTTCCTCAATATTAATTATTAAATCTAACAGGTTCATGTATTTCTCTTTTCTTTTAACTAGGGACTTTTGCCTATTCAAAAATTGTCATCAAGAATGTATTGAGTACACTGAGATTTCGCATCATTCTGACCAAACATTATATAATATGAAAATGATTTACATTATTAGAGTCAGTTATACACAACATCCATTTAAGAAGTCCCAGTTACAATAAATACAGCTTCACAAAACGATTGGTTATCTCAGTTTAGTACCAATATTTGAACTGCAATATTCTACGATTGGAATCTATCAATCGATTGATTTTTTCAGCATTCAGTCATCATTTCTTAATGACACTACGTAATATAAAATTTCCAACTATTAATTCAGACAACAGATTTCATTGATCAGTAATAATCCAATTAACATAGATAACGTGATAAGAAATAACTATAATCAGAAAAGGAGTTTTGTTAAGATTGTAGTTATTTAATAGTTAAATTCGTGAGTCGATTAAAGCTAGACCGCCATGGAAAACCTAGAAACACTAGACAGCTGAAAAGTCCCATACTAGAACTAAACGTCCGTCCAGTGCTTCCAGGTTCTCAATGTTGGTCTAGCTTTAATCAACTCATGAATTCAATTATTAAATGACTTTAAAATTATCTACGGATTAAATATTTTCTCTTTAACTATTAAAATCATTTAAATTAAAAAAAATAGTTCACTATATTATTAGCTTAATTAATTATTTCATTAAAATCTTATATAGTTATCATTGCTGTTAATTCATTTATTTGCTTGTTTTTTTTATATTACACAATTATCAGTTTCCTTTACATGTAATTAACATTTAACTAAGTTATTATCTCATAATTACTTCTTGTTGTAACCAATTACAATTACTTTTCTGACAAAGTTTTAATGATGAATTCAATAGAAAGAAAAGAACTCACTATTATTATTATTATTATTATTATTATTATAGAGTGTGTGTGTGTGCGAGAATTAATTTTGCCATTAAATGTTTTCCAATTTAGAAGCGGATGTTTGCAAATTGCTATGATATTCGTGTGAAAATATTTACGTATGAGATTATAAATACATGTTATTTGGGAGGAAAACCTTGGTTTGTTTTTTCACTCTGTGATATTACCTTTTAATGTGTCGTATTCAAAAAATAAAAAAATGGAACAACTGAAATTTTATCAGTCCGTTTTATGTTCAATTACTGTTCTAGAAATGTTATCGAAATCATTTAAACAGACTATTTCCAGTTTGTAGTTTACAAATGAATTTAGCCAAATAACGATTTGAATTCAGAAAATATTGAACAAGTGTTTCACTTCAGCAGATGGTTGTTTAGTAGCTTATATCTGTGAATTCACGATGAATCTTCAGACCTCGTCGTAATTAATTAGTCTTCTAACCCCTTATTTAATAACCAGCGTGAATATTTTTAAACTTAGTCGACGGTCGACATTGCTTTTAATTAAGAACAAACTGGCACTATACACTCTACACATTACTGTGACTAGTAATTTGATAAAATGGATGTATTTATTTAATGGTGAACATTAATAATATGGAGTAAAAGAACCGCTTAGTTTCCAAAATCAAACAAAGCTGCAATAGAGAAAGCTTAGACTATAAATATTCAATTTAACTATAAATAACTACAGTTGTTCAGTGGTCCTTGGTTTTAGATTGTTCTCCAATTAATTGTTAGTCTTTGGTGAATATTATCTTCTTTTGAAATTAATTTCCTTAAATGACTTAATTTAAAACATCATTACACAACAAACTCTAAAATTTCTATTTTCCAATATCCTTTAAATATTTTATGCAGTATAAAACTGTATACATCACGATCCGATGGTATTTGTGCATAACGTAGTACTGCGATGGTTTCAAATTAAGCTAATGATATCGCAATGATTGTGAAAGTGATAGAATTAAAACAATCACTTTGTAGAAAATAACAAAAACCGAATTCGGAAAATTCATAAATATGCACCACTATCAATAAATCGCACTCATGATGATTGGTTTATAAAATGAAAATAACTTAATAGTTGAATTCATGAGTCAATTAAAGCTAGACTGCCATCGAAAACCTTGAAGCCCTTGACGGGCGTTTCGTTCTAGTATGGGACTCCTCAGTAATGCGCGTGATTCGAACCTAGCACCTATCAGTCTTGTGGGTGAACGCTTAACCTCTACACCACTGAGCTGGCATCCTACTGTGTTAATGTCTAACTTCAATCAATCCACAAAATTGAGCCACCATCCACCATTTCCTAGCTTCAATTGACTCATGAATTCAACTATAAAATTACCAAAATCTCCACAAAACCCCTTATGATAATGAATATGATTAGTCATCTTGATTTTGTAATTTTCTTGTCACTACTTACTGAGTCTTATTATTATTAATTAGGAAATATCTCGGGATTTTTTCGAAGTGTAAAATATATCAAGACTAAGTGTATTGGTTACATATTTATATAAATGATAAGTCCACTTTTCCCATTTGAAAAAAACCGCTTTCTATTTTAGAGATTATTATCATTTTGCAAACTAATCAAGTTGAATTTAATAGTAACTAATTCAAAAAAGATTACCAGGATATATATTGCGGTAACGGCTCTCGATCAACTCAAGGAAGCTCGAAAACCTCTAAAAAAGTCGATGATATTCCACCCAATCAATAACATTTCAGTATCTTGACATGTAGCTTCCCAGTTGGACAAATGCTAAATACCACTACAAGCAGATAAAATGACTGTAATGGTGTTTTCGTTTTTACTTAAAAAAAACTATAAATACCCAAGTGTTTTGTACCGTTTTTAACTAATTGAAAAACGAATTCTATCCATTCATTTCCTATCTTCTAACTTCCAACTTGGAGAGTTCAAGAGTTCGAGTGCTCAAGTTATACACAGTATAACTAAAATTCAAATTCTAGATATAACATATATATATATATATATATATATATATATATATATATATATATATATATATATACAGTTTTCATTTAATTTCTAAGGAAGGTTTATTTCTTTTTAATTATATACCAGAAGAATAACTTCCATTATGACACTGACCCATTATATTTTTCTGACAGAAAAAACAACAACAAAAAGATGTTTATATTTTTAATTGAATCAATATGCAAAAAAGAAAAAAATTTAATTTGACATGGAAACGAGTTGAAATTAAATCCATTTTTTATAGTTAAATGTAAGTGAATCAATTATCTTTATTGAGAAATATGTAATAATAAATTTTATTAAAGAAAATCTACTAAAAGAATAATTCATTTATATCATCATTGTTATACATTTAAAGTTGTTGATATCAGGCAAATTCCGATCAAGCACAATTGAATCGATTATCAATTCGTTTGATAATCTTGGAGGCATTTCAGTGTTAGACAGTATGTTTATCGGATATTTAAAATTAGAGAGTTAATATTTATCATGCTTTGGAGTACTACAATCAACGATCAGATTGAATTTATAAGTTATAAGTACTAGAAAACCTTATGGTGAGATTACAATTTATGAATGATTTTCAAACGACGCTAACGTGACCTTGAGAATGTCCACCAAAGTTAAATGAAGTTTACCAACTAGTGTAAGTAATTAGGACTATAATTTTCAGATGATAGTTAGGGTTAGGAATTAGATGAAGGATTTATATCATGAATTGACATCAGCTAAAATGCAAAAATGTTATTTAGCCAAATGAATGAATGAGCTTCGCTCTAAAATCCCAGACCTGTTATCCTAGATCTCATTGGTTCGTACATTAATTATAGTCTCACCACATGAATATATTAATAAAGTTGTCATGAAGGTCAAGACTTCTCAGAAAACTTATAATATGCAACAAACATACTAAATATAGCGACTTTTAAAGTGTTGATTTCATCTTAGTTTTAACCCACGATAATGTTAACCATAAAATGATACTAATCGAAACATAAAAGTGCATATTCTTTGAGTTCTATTGTTAAATCATATTGAAACAATAATTATTGTTTGTATGTTAACACATGTTATATCGTCCGATCATTTATTCATCTAGACAAACGCATAGATCTACTCTTTAAGGATTACAAAGCAAAAATTATAGACTACTGAATTATTTTAATTTTTCTAGATAGTTTTTTCTTGACTTTTTTGTTGTTATTTCCTTTGTTAAATGTTCTATTAGTCTGTTTACCACCAACTGTTATTGTCAATCAAATTTATAACAGGAAAGGATAATAAATTAATGCACTAAATTTTTATCATAGATGTGGGGGAACATCGGATGTCTAGAAATAAAGTATCTATCTAGTTATTATCTAAAAATCTTTCATATCAATTAACGTTTGACATATTTAAATTTATGAATATCTATTACTGCTACTCTCCGCTAATGACGAGAACCCAGTTAACATGAGACTAACATGAAACTTAATTTTGAATTTTCAAACTGAATATACCTATTCTACTTGAATGAAATATATTTAGGTTAAATTTACCGTCCGTTCATACAGCATTTTATTATTTATGAACTAAACTATCTTAGACACCCTTGACTAGAAGAGTAAAAGAAGTGTTAAAAAGGGAAAATTTATAATTCTATAGACCATCTCTACCAAATACAGACAAATCTATTGCTCATTCATCTATCATAAATAGTATAGTTTGATTTCAATAGGATATAGAAAATGTAATCACCCAAACAATGTACCGATGTATGCGAAATTGCTTGTTTAGTATTAAAATAACAGTAAAACACAGGAATCATTAACTGAGGAGCAACTGGCTAACCTCAAACCTTAAGTAATTTACAATTCGATTTCATAGTTCAATCTGTAGAACATAATTTAGAATTCTTCAATATTTTAGATTACGTTACAAACTATAATCATCTGCCATATATACATATATCAGTAACAAGCAGAAAGCATTAATTAATTATTTAATTATTCAAGCCATTTATTCAATAAATTATTTAAGAGTTCCGATTTTCCATGTAAACATTACAAAGCTCTTATTTAATTCTAAAATTGAAACCGACATATTACAATAAGTAACCATATTTCTTTTTTAACCACATTTCCAATTCTAAAGTTCTTACTTTCATTTCACCTTAAAAACTGGCAGTGTTTTTTTCTTCTTTTGATTACTTTAAATGGGATAAGAAAAATGATTGTTTTTCTTTTCTTCTTTTTACAAGAAGTCAATACAACGTTTATTTCTAAATTAATTCAAAATGGATGAATAAAATTCTGTAAACAGTTTGTACGGCAGACTTAAATTCTTTATTGATCAAACCGTTCTTTTTCTCTTCATTTCATTTTGTTATACATTAGTGAGTAGACATTTACTATCTACTCTTGATCTCATGTAAAAACATAGTGATGGGTTGTTGTTTTGTTTGTTTTTTTTGTTTTTAGATTTAAACACAAGATTTTTAGAATACCTCCAGTAATTTTCTTTTCTATTTCCTTGTAGTTCTTTCTGGGTCCAACATTATTACATTTATCTTTAATTGCGTCATCTTACCATTAGTTATTTTGATGCAAATAAAAGCAGAATAATGTAAAAAATTACAAAATCTTAACTAGGTTATAATCAAGCAATATAAAACTAATCTATCTTATAGTTTATAAACTTATATTATTTCATTCACCGGGAAACCACTTTTTTTTAAAAAAGTAATACTAAAAATGTATTTGCTGTATTCTTTTATCTGGACATATCGATTGAATTAGACAACTTATAAATTATTCATACTAGAAGAATAACAAATATCTTTCAGTACAGTATGAGTATTCATATTTCTTAGCGCTATATAGTTATTCAGCATAAACGGGAACAACGGTTTTACTTTGTTGCTAAGGTAACCGATACTTTGAACAAATAGACAGTAATGTTTATGGTTAGAAATATCATATTAATTATCAGAGGATTAAACATGAATGTACCTACATCTTTGGAATTATTTACATAAGAAAAAATGGAGTATCATTTTAGTGACCAGTAATACACTTGAATTTTAGTTGGTTTTCATAATAACTTAAAATGTCACTACTCTTTCTATTGTGTCTTTTATTCATTAAATACTCAATCAGATATTTTTTATAAATTAAATGATTTAACTGGACAACTATGTACTTTTCTTTCAAACCAATATCATCATAAATAATAAATATACTGTAATTTGTAAAAGATTATTGTTAATAATCAAAACCAATGAGGGTTAGTCAATTACTTAAAATCTGATAAACCGTTTTAAACAAACTGCACAAATTTGTTTTAAACTTTAGAGAAAAAAACTTACAATTAATAGTTGAATTCATGAGTCGATTAAAGTTAGACCACCGTGGAAAACCTGAGAGAATTAGACGGCTATTTCGTCCTAGTATGGGACTCTTCAGCATTTGTTTAAATGTTTTATTCAGACCGATAACTTTGATACATCTTTACAGTATTATTTTATATTTACACTTATCTATAGACGATTCTTAATATGAACTCTTTTAGTAAAATTATTCATAAATGAAAGCAGTTTCGAACTAGTTTACTAAAATTTACATACACAGGAATTGCATATTTGTTTCTATATCCAATGGTTTATCTTGTTAAACTGATATAATTCAATAGCTTAGTGTCTTACAAAACAAAAAGAACAGTAAAGTAATTTTTTATTCTTTCCATTACTAATGTTTATACGTTACTATGAGATTCTTGAGATGTTGAACTATTCACTTATAATATAAGATTTTCAGACTACTTACTATGTAATCTTTCTTTCTAATATACAATTCTTCGCAATTGTTAAGCTCTTTTATCAGAGAATAAAATTGTATCGGTGTTCAATAATAGACAGTCTATAACTCTTATGTACACTTTTCTTTCTTCTGTGAGTTGTTACAACGTGAAGAGTGACTTGTATATAAACTAAATATTTTATTAAAAATTATCATCACCCATTCACTATGAAAAAATTAGATTTAAGCCTCTGAAGAAGAATTAAAAAGCGGATCATATGAGTTGATGAAATTCTAATGAAGAAACGACCTTTTACTAATCGCGCTGATGGTAAATATTTTGAGCTTCTCCTACTAAAAGAAAGTCTTTCAAGAGACTAATTTGATGAATTGATCTAAATAGATTCTTCTTAAAGAGATTACTCACAACATGAGTAACTTGAAGATAATATCTGTGATATAAGATGATATAAGATGTTTCCGGTTGCAATCCCATATGAACAATCAGTTCAACTTAAGATTCAAACTACCTTCTAACGCGTAAACTCAGTAGTTATTAAAACTTAAGTGTGTGACCTTCAGTTACTTAAATTCAGCCATCTGAGACTATGCAAAATGCACTCTGAGATCCAATTACTTAAAACCAGTTACCATATTACAACCTGAATAGTTGAATTTAATCATTATTAAAGATTAAACATGAAATTAACTATTGCACAAGACCAACGTGCATAAACAAGTGTAATTAATCATAGGAGATGGAATATTTACAGACAAATGTGTGAGATGTTCAACAGGGGATATACAAGTGAACACCACTTTTATATCACACAGTCTACGTTTTCGAATTCGACCGAGGTTTTTATCCTTATATAGTCATCACTTCCATAGTAACTGTACTCTGTACTGACTAAGCTCGTCCCAACTAGTCTACTAACTTTCTCATTATACATAAAAAGGCTGAGTGTAAAGCTACAAACTAATGACATGTATTTTGACAAATCTTGTCAAAATATAGTAGCAATCTACAAAAGTATTTGCATTGTTTCAATAACCAAAAGTATCAGGCTAGTCGTCTATATTGATATTATGCAACCCAATTGACTAATCTTAATAACGTCCACTGAACGAGTACTTATATTTATATCAATGAAATTTAAACCTTCTACATTCAACTATTTGATTGTTGAACACTCGAAAGATACATCACTGTTCACTCCTTCTAATCTTCTAATATTATTTAAAATCGAGGAAATCAGTATTCTTGCTTATGACAATGGTAAATTTAGGAATTCTAATGTATATGATAAAAATACATTTGTGAAATGGTCATTTGACATATAATTACTGTTCATTGTTAATTATTTGTTAAGTGTTTCCTCCCCTAACATTATTACTTATTAGTCTGATAAAAAATAACAACTTGTTTAATGTATTATCCAGAGTAGTTTTTAATAGTATGTGCTTCCAATGGTTTCAACATTTCTTTTAAAAGCAGTGACAAGCCTTATTATCTGATGCTTTTCACTTTCCTGCTTTCCAAACACCAATATATTTTAATAAAACTTTATTTTTCACTTACCTTGCATTAAATACACATTCAAAGACGGCTGTTCCTGGTTGGTCATCTTTTAAAGTAAGTGACACATCTTTTGGAGGTAAGACAAGATCTAAAGAATTGGTGGCCATATTTTCAGGTGGATCTGTTAAACAAAATTTTATTGAAGCACGTAGTTAAATGAACAAAATGACAATGAACGGTCTTTAAATTACTAAATTTCATATATCAGGTAATTTTCATAAAATATAGCAAAAATCTTCCATCTGTCTCATGATAAACCGTAATAAAATAATGAATTAAGAATCAACTAACCATTTCTGAAGGCAGTCTCCCTAAAAGATAAGAAACTGACAAATTTAGGTAGTTTCATTTCCATCTCATTATATAAACCTTTCAATGTCATACTGGAACTCTTAAGCATTTCTGATGGAATATAGATGTTAAGTCCTAAAGTATTCTCACAATAAGTTCATAAATTATCCGCTTTTTGTTATATATGAACCATCAATGTTCTGTAAAATGAAAATTTTAACCTAAGCACATCAGTTTCTTTTCAACGGTTATTTTCAAAATATACAAAGAAGAAATAATATCTTGCATGAGGTGAATATCCTGGAAAATAAGAATATCACTTCGTGATTTTGTACACACTATTGAAACTAACAAATGCGATGAAATAAGTCAGCTTCTTGCAAATAAACCTGAAATACCTCCAATATTGAAACACGGTAAAATGCAACATTGAAGTTTAACACTCGGTAAACATATTTTTCTTAACTTCGAAATTATTCCCGGCTTTTATCGCTGATCTTAAAAATGTCACAAACTATTTATATAATATGCCCCGTTGATTGTGAAAATTCAGAAGCTCAAGATGACTTCAAGTTTACTAACAAACAAAATATTTACAAACTAACTAAATTGATAGAGCAGTATTGTTAGTAGGCCTCAAGACAGTTATGTCCCAAAGTGGGTAAGAATATTTCAAACGCTGTTTTCTACCTCAAGTTTGCATACGCTGACACATTAAGAAATTTTGAAATTTCAGGAATAATATCTTCATTATCGTTTATGAGCGTTGCGGATTACACAGTAGTTTTATCATAAACTTTCAGATACATAAATGATTTAACATTGATATTTATAGGTCAAAATTATTGTTACTTACCTTTAACTTGGATTATATGTGTCTGACTGAATACTTCACTATTTGCTCTTCCGTAGCCATTGATCAATCGTGCTCTAATCACTTTTGAATCCATTTCTTTATCAATATTAAGCAATACTATAGCTTGTTCCAACTGACTAACAAAAATATTCAATGTACTAGGTATTGGGGCACTGTTTATAGTCCATATAGCTTGTGGGAACGGTACTGCTTGTAAATAATATGAAGGAGATAAAGCTTTGTTTGTTTTGTTTGCTGGGTTGAATACTGATTTCCACAATCCATTTCGTCTTTCCAGTTGAAATGGCTGCTTTCGTTTATCTTGATGTAGTGAACCAGGCCAAATTATAACAGCTTGATCTAGAGTTACTTCAATAAATGAACGCGCCTTGGTTTTAGATGGTGGATCAAGATCTGTTGAGATAAAAATTAAAAAATAGTAGTAATCTAATACCAAACGGAATTGACTTCCTAATAAAACAACTACACTACTTGTAACCCATAAGTAATAACCTTCTCAAGTCTTAATTTCAAAATCATTTGAAAATTCGGACATTATTCATCGAGATTACAATTTACTACCAATTAGTAAATAATAATTAAGAACACTAGTGAGTGGCCTTCAAACAATTATGTAAGAAATCATTTTTTAATGATCCTTGACTATTTGATTCAGATAGTTTGATAATTAAGCTTTGATCGTCTTTAAATACAGTACCATTAAAAATGACTCCGGAAATGTTAGTGTTAGAACTTTTCCACCATTAAATAATAAATTTCTTCAGTCAAAGATGAAGCTCGACAGGGTTTTTATGATATATATGCTGTCACCATCTGTACGTTTATTTTAATTGCCTTTCTTAAATATTTGAAGACATTTCCAGTTTCGTTCTACCCTTTCTACATCAAGTTTGTTTATGGTTTGGTCATAAGAGGTGCAAGCTCAATAATATATAACAAACCTTTCATCAGAAATTCGATTGCTGCTTTTTTAGGTCGACAACGATAATAGTTTTCTTTAAAAGTATTACAAAATCGTGTACGATTTTACTCGGATAAGAAGATACATGTGTTCACTTTACAATATTCGTTTCAATAATCTTTTCATAGAAAGTTGAAACAATCATTGTAAGCTATCAATTTACCGATCTAAATTAGAAAAGAGACATTTATGATTCGTTTGCAGGTTTTCATGAGAAATACTTTGAATTTTATTTGAGTACACGCCTAACACTTGAAGTTATCTGAGAACAAGACTATCCTGGATAATCAGTCACATTTCAAACATTAACATGCTAATTGCTCAACTCTTTACATTAGGAATATTGAAAATCGTACTACAGCTGATGTTCAACCTTTTTTAAATAGATTGGTGCTATTTGCATATTTTGAGCGGAACAAACCACTTTACTGGTATAACATGGAACTAAACACTGATCAACAAAATATAATAAGTTAAAACCCAAAGCTAATAATGCCAAGAATTTGATTTCTTCTGCTATTGATAAACAAGATTTTTATTCCATCCCTAACACAGAATGTCTATGATAAAATCTAGTTTGTGATGTATCTTATTATCTTCTGGAGTCATTTAGTTTCAGTCCCAAAAGAACATTAAATAAAGTGACATTTAAACTATAAACGAAGAACAGTTTCATAAAATCAGTAAGTTCGAACATACAAGGTGGTAATAAACCACTAAGTTGGCCATTATTATTCTTGACTACAACCAAAAAAATCTTCAAGGTGGCCAAAATCAATTACTGTTGTTCCTCTGAGGAACGTCAGTAAAGAAACCAAAAACGTAAGTCATTTTACTTCATACAAATAGAATTCACTAATAAAAAGCGTCATGTGAACAAAAGGTTTGAAGTAATAGTAATAAAAAGATATCAATAAAACTCAATAAAATGTTGAGAGGTTTCAGCACAGTGACAAAACAAGAGTCTACTTCGGCTACTGTTATAAGCTCTAGTTAGAATTACATATGGTCTTCGACAACGAATATAATCTGTCCAGAAATCTTATCAATGTATTCCGCAGATACATTTACAGCTGAAAATAACAACAGATAACTCCCCTTATATTCCTGAGCATAGTAATAAAAGATATTTCGTCGGTCAGTGTTTTCAGTTAGTTATTCATGAGAAATCACATTTTTTATAGACATCTATTGTAAAGCTGGAGTTAATCTTAAACTGAGAATTAGGTTTCTTCGTCAGAATTTGTTATTGAAGGCGATACACAAGTACATACTTTTAAAACTAGACCTACTTTATAACCTGAAATATGGTTATTCACAAAAAACTAATGCGTCTTATTCAAAATAATGTGACTGCATGGCTACTTTGAGTATAGCTTCTGCTTTTTATAAATACAATATTCACTTTATTCATAAAGTAAAGGTCGGAAGGAAACATAGGCGACAATTTGAATATGATTGACAGTTATTTAAATATCACCAAACTTTGTTGTTACTCAGGATGTTGAACTAATTAAGTATATCTTTGCTGAGTGTGGAGTAAATTCTATTAACGTTAAAACTGTGATTTGAAACTCTATATTCTTGTTTGGTGCACAAAGTACCTTCGGACTAGAAACCAATGCACGGAAGGTTGAATATAATTAAGCAGACACTGATCAGAGCTATGATGATAAATGATGTACAAAACTGTTTAACATATTCTGATCTCCTCCTCTGTAATATATCAAATGAAAAATAATCACTTTGTGTTTCACAAAATTTATATCTCGAAGAAGTGGGACAGCGGTTTAGTTTCAAACGTACAATTTTTCAAAGACTATATATTCGAAGTCTATACATAGAAACAGGATGACTGTAACTCAAAGATTGCTCAAAATTTAACACAGTAGTCCAATATTTTCAAGTTGTTCATATATCGAAATAAGTAAGATTATTTACGAAATGAAACGTTTAGTTGTAAATGTATCGATCAAATCCCTGAATCATTATATATCTTCATGACGACATTTGAAGTTCTACACAACATAATTTTTGGGGGCATATGTTCAAAGTTGATATTCACTTTCAACTCTGACCCAATCACTAACAAAATATTAAGAGATTGAATGTTGCCATATATAACAAATTGTTATTAGCCATCACCATATATAGACATAAATATTAACTTATACACTCATGACATAACTCTTCAAACGAGTATTTAATGAAAACGCGACATTAATCACAAAAACGTTAATTCAGTAAACACGTGAATATAAATAACAAAATTAACTTACAACCGATCTCTAATTTGACTTTCCGGCTACGGATCCCCCCATAAGTAGTTTTTACTACACAGTGATAATATCCAGCATCTTCACGATAAGCTGACCGGAGACGAAAAGAAAAAGTAAGATTTTCAGCTATTCTGATGTCATCTTTGTACCAAGATATTAATGCTTCAGAGAAAACATTTGTTTTGCAAGGAAGTAAAACCTGCTCCCCTTCTGGAACAATTAAGTACGAGCTCTCCGATGTAAAATGCAGAGGAATATTTTCATCATTGAGTTCAAAAGATTTCAAACTATGTATCAAGAGGTACAAGATTGCACAACACAAGAATATCCATCTAAATTTATCATCAAAAATAACCATGTATTCCACTTGCTGTAATTTAGACTGGAAATGTGGAAACTACATGAATTTACTATTGATGATAAAAGACCACGAAAACATATTAGTTGCAGATAATGATATGTCATTCAAATATACTCATATTTGTAATGCGATATAATTTATCAATATGATGCGTTTAAACAAACTACGAACGAAAAGTTTTGTAAACAGGTTGTTTTTCTAATCCCTAGAGTGAAAAATAGTTATCACTTGAGTAGCTACAACATGGTTTCCTTCGCTTCATTCAAAGCATCAGATTTTGGCAGAATTATTGTAATATGCAGACGTATTAAGCTGTAGTTTTCTTGGTCAGAAGTAGAATGCCGTTTTTTGCCTATGGCCTATTATTTAATTTTCTAATGGTCTTTTTATTTGCGGAGAGTTAACGTCCATGTTTTATACCATATGAAAACAGCACTACCTAATTATTTTGTTAGTGAAATGTATTACTCTAATAACACCTAAGAACGTTCGAGGGCAGTTCGATATTAGAATTCACCATCGACGTTCCTCATATACTGCTTTTTATCGATATTCACCACTACCTATGCTGCGGTTTTCTTATATAGTATTGACATTTTCATTTTAACCCCTCAATTCTTATAATCATTCTCCTACAAAAGCCCCCAAAATTCGAAATCATCCGATAGATCTTCTTTTAAGAGCGAAAAACCAACCCAAGAATTGGATTTTATGGCACTTTGCTTGACCTCAGAAACTAAGCAGACAGTTCAGAATCAACTCTGGTGCTTTATAATATCCACATTTAGTAGGTCTCCTGTCGCCTAAACATACGACTGTTCAGTCAGTTTGAATTTTAGGGTATAATAATTGAATAGCTTTTTAAATAACTAGACCCTGGTAGTATGCAAAATGCCTATTTTACAGGCTATGTCTATTTTAAATGATAATCCGGAAGCATTACGTGGCTACATAAAACACCAGGAACTGTCCCACTTAACAGAACAAGACCGCATTAATAAAAAAACATCATGAATGGTGAGTCAAACTTTAATTACTGTATAACTGAAAAGATTTAAATATATCACAGAATTTAGGGTTTCACAACTATTTTTCCCGTAACTTTTTTACAACTGAAAGAAACTGGCTAGTACAAGTAAGTCAGGAATGAATGATTTCAAAGACATTTTTAAAAAACTTTCGATTTCAGCTGGAAATTAGTTACAAGGTACGCGTGGTGCGATGTAAACAATCACGATCTCGTGCAGATATGTGACTAATAACCTCCGGTGAGGTGCGTCTAGTGGGACTAACGAAGTGATCTTAATAGTCGACGACTTACGGAATTATTTATTTTGGAATTCGTCTTTAATTACAGACTCAGACAGTGACATAAAGAACGTGTAGTGGTAAATAAATCCCCAAACTAAATAGCTCTGTAAGTTTTCGACATTGGATGCTGACCATATGTTTTAGTGGACTCATCTAGCTGAAGGCGCTCGGTCAGGCATCCGCACCAGATCACGTGTGGTAACGCCGTGCTCAACATCAACCGCAATCGCTAGCCAGATTAGATCAGAGAATTCCGATATATTGGTCATCGCCAAATATACTCTTCCGATCTCCTCGACTCTGTCTTTTGATTTCTCTGGGTGGGAACGAAATACAATAGTCGGTGTTACTGGTAGAAGCGTTGTCAAACACTGAATACCTGTGACATCATCAAACGACTTCACCGAGTCTTTAAATAAGCCCAAAGATTCACTGATAATTATGTCTGACCTATGTAAATCTAGTGAACTGAGAAGAATCTGTATATAGTCTTTCTCGCTCACCTTAACTTCAGTGACCAGATATGCGAAATAGTCTTGATCACTACTTAGCGCGATGTTTAGTGACCATCCGTCTCACAAACGTACTGTTACTTGAAACCAAAAGTAAATTCCAATTCTCTGACTGGATCAAACATTTTCGAGGTTCAAACACTTTAATATAGCCCCAACATCCTAAATTCATATGCTATAATTTTAATAAGAGTACTCTCCCCTAACATGGTTATCCCGTTGGAAACTTATATGAATATGACTGTGAAAGGCTGTCAAAAATGATATTCTTCATTCTCATAACTATATATAGTTACTGTGTCTATGCTTAAAAAGATTAGAGAATAAGTGTGTGTCTTTGACGCCTCCCATCATTTTCTATGTGTAACCCATGGAAGAGTGATGCCAACACGAGGCTGGCATGTGACTTATTAAGAAACTCACTAAAATTCAGGAAACTTTAAAAAATGGAAGTCAGTCGATAGCACGTCAGTCTTCAAAGTAGTCAGGAAAAATCCAACCTTTTAAAGATCAGTTGTGGTATATTCAATAATGTTGGACATTGTGGAAGGGATGTTTTGTTGAGTCATGGTCGTGGTCGCTATTATTACACTTATAGTTATCATTAGAACTATAGATACAATCCCCGAACTGTTGATTTATCATGATATGACCATCTATTCTATATGACCTGATGTGCAAGTCACATTATTGTCCATACCAACCCTTTATACCACGACAATCAGCATTACAATATTTAGAATATATGGGAAACACATTTGGGCTTGGGACAAAATGATATATATCTAGTACAAAGAGGAATAAAACGCCACACCCACACTGCCGATCCATGTCAACATGTGTCAACCATTTTTGATCTTCTCTATAGTGCTAAATGTTGAATGCAAATCTCCTCAGTAATTATATGTTCAGCATCAAACATTGCTTAGTTAGAACAAATCCCACTACAGTTTGATGACTGAGATGACATGTGGATAAAAGCAATTTTCTTCATAGAGTTCAACACAGATTTCTTGCCTTAATGATCTCCTTGCAAAAAACATAAATAACCTGCTGAGACAAAGGGATATCGTGCCATGTAATATCCCTGGACTGAACAAATTAGTTGGCACAGTACCCCACGTACTCCTTGTAACGGGGTTTACCAATAAAAATTTTACTAACCCACTTATATCCTAGCTTACAAACCACGTTGTGGACTGGATGTTACGTATTACAGTAAACAGAGTTCACACGAATTGTGAAGTAGCGAACTTTCGCGTTGGACAATTTCAGCTCCATTTCTCTTCCTGATTTTTGTCGACAAACTCCTAGATAAAATTAGCTTGCCGACCCTCACGTACGCTGAGGAAATCATGACATGGAGGTCTATAATGAACGAGAACGACCAACTTGCGTTTCTACATTACCTGCGGGTACCCTCCGTCCTGTCGGTAAAAAAATCAGACTAGTGGTCAACAGGTCTTTCTTCAAATCGTGGGACAAAACAGCTGGAGCACGAGGTTACCCTTTTCGAACGAACAAAGTTTCTCAACATTCAAAATAATTAGGAAGCATAATGCCAGTACGCAATAAAGAAGTGAACGAATACTTGAGCTATAATGTTTTGAAATTGCTAAGACGTCTGCAGCCAACTCGTCACCAATCAACCTCAGTTGTTACAAGTGAATGACGATCATTAGCCTGACGTTTGACCTGTCATAATGTTATGTTGTATACAGTAAGCCCTTAAGTCCACCAAAATAAAAATCTGCATTGTAACTTTCTCGTCCAGTTGTTTTCACAAGGAGTAATATGAGACTACTCGCCACAGACATTAAGAGAACCAAAGCAGATGCAACTCTACATTTTATACGGAGGTAGCTTGACGGAATCTCCATGGCATTATATCCAGCATTCTAAAACATACGCACAACCTGACGTGGAAATTTACGACGTTGTTCACATTATTTTACGAAAGAGACATAAACCTCATTGATTAAGTACAGAGATAGTCAACTGGATGGTGATAGGCCTGGGAAAATAATATTACGAAGATGAATTCCGACGCTTAAGAACATTCTCTCTGAGCTATAGGAGACTATGAGGTGATGTGATAATGGAGCACAATATACTAAGAACTTTGAGTCGCACCAACACAAACATCCTGCTAGAACATCCTAGAATAAGTTAAGTCGAGTGACTGAACTACTGCATTTTGGACATGATAAATACATGGAACACACAAAAACTGGAGACACAACACAACAGAACAGACTGCAGACACAACGTCTACTCCTTAAGTGTTGTCAAACGCTGGAATTCGCTGTCAGCTGAGCTAGTCCAAGAGACTTTCCAGGAGTCCTTCAAGAGAAAACTTGACATATTGTTAAGGACTAAGGATAAAATCTAACTACGATTCACCAATCTTGTTTTTCTCTTTTATCGTTAACAAACCTTGGTTCCTGCCTGGAGGTATTGGTGATCCACTGCTACCAGACACGGAAGTCCGTTAAGCGAGGGCTTCTTCTATTCCGTCCATAACCGTTTGAACCATTTTGGAAGCGCGTAAATTAACTTCCTTTGGCTTATGGAGGCAAGTGACGGTAAGTTGTACATCACCTGGAATAGCAAACAATATTTGACCCAGTATGTTCAGAACGAGGGCATTGAGTTTAGTGATTAACGCGAGACTATATTCTATGAACAAACCAAACAAATTGAGAATGGCAAGTCTTGGAATTCGGCTCATAATTCACATAGTTAAGTAGCATTTTGTCATTACACCTGACATCAGTCCTTAATGGAAACCTGTTAGTTTAGTTTTTTAATCTAAATCCTAATTCTTGCTCCGCATAATAGTTCATAACCCTTTCTTGACCCTGGCAAGTGGAAAAGTTGCCTCAAAGTTCGTACATAAATTAGTCGCCATGATTACCACATTTTAATCAAAGATTGTGAACTGGGAGTTCACAGGACAGCTTGTTTACTATTCCATGCTATAGATTCCTCTGAATCAAGATGATATGGTGAACAGAAATCAACTTCTCTACTCACTTATTTCCACCTTGTTTCCTCAAGACCTGATATTTGGTTTGATTATTTGTTTCAAAATCATTAGCGTGTATCAGACTTATAAAAACAAAAGTATCGTTTGACATGAATTCGAAGACTTATGTGCTAATGACCCGCTTTCCATTCATTGTTATTTGGTCTTCCTATTTTCCTTTGGCCTTGAGGATTCCATGTGAGGGCTTGCCTTATGACTCGGGTGCTTTCCTCGATGTTCTGTAAGCCCAACCAAACTTGATTGCAAGACCTAACA